ATAATCTCTCTGTATAAACAGTATACTTCAATCATCATGTACACCTGGGCAGGTTGGAATGGGAAGGGGCAGAGGAGATTTCAACAAAGCTGTAAATGAGAAAACAAAATAGCAAAGAGAAACCAAAAGGAAGTCAATTCAGGCTAAAATCGTCCAGAATTTTTTGATCGAACTGAAAATCGTCCAGATTTAACGACAGTAGGAGACTTGATTCTACGAATTTAAGAGGACAAAAAGTCATGTATTCTTGCGCGTGCGCGCACACACATATACATAGAGAACAGTAATACTAGCCTAGAATAAAAATTGTATCTCAAATTTACTTACAAGTGAGCGTGGAGATTGAAGACGAGATTCGTTTTCTTCAGTCCCTGTTTGGGTTCTGAATGATGACCTTGAACTTGCTGTTTGCCATCTCTTCACACTGAATTTCCTCAATTTTTCTGACTGATTGAGAAACAGAGTCTCCACACAAGATCACCTCAATCTTTTGCAGGGAACAACTATCACCAAACTCAGAAGGAATCTCAATGAGCTGCTTGCATGTTTGCAACACTATATGCTCAAGAGATGGGAAGGCATCATCTGATATATTCCAATGCGTAATGTTCAGATTTCCCAATTTCAAGTATTTGAGTTTTGGAAATTCCTCATCACTCGCATTCCATTCTTCTCCCTCAAAAGCTTTTGAAAGCAGTTTCAAAATTTCAAGGTTTGGTAATGCTGCAATTGCAGAAATTTCAATCCATGGCAGCTGAAACTTTGATAAGGTCAATTTCTTAAGGTTTGAGGGGAAGTTAAATTCACAAGGCTGAAGCACTCCGCCTTGATAAATCACATTGAGCGATTCAAGCTGATTCAAGAAATCCAAAACTGGAAATCGATTGCAAGAGCTTCCCAGCTTCTCAGAATGATCCCAAGATTCCAAAAATATGCATTTTAGTTTTTGAAGGAAAGGAAAACTTCTCATTATGTTCCCTTTGTCATAAGAAAGAGATGGGGTGGATAAGGTCTGCAAACAATCCAATTGTGACAAGTTGGAATCTGAGAAGGTACAGTTATCTATATGAGCATGCCTCAGCCTCTTCATACTGAAAAATGTATCTGGTAATGCTACCTCACCTTTTGTTCCTTTCACTAGGAAAGTTTCTAAGTTCCAGAGCTTGGAAATCCAAGAGGGCATGACCGTGATGTCACCTTGAAGTGACAAAAATCTCAAATGCACAAGCCATTTTATTTGGGTTGGAAAGATATTGCCAATGTTGATGCACCCCAAGTCCAACACTCTAACAAGATCATCGACGCGCGGAAATAGACCTTCGGGAAGAGGACTTGGCCAGGAGCGGTGCCAACCGGGTTCAGAAGAATATATCATTGTGCGGGTAAGGGATATATTCAGAAATAAATCTTTACGCCATGATTCGTTATCCAGAAATAAATCTTTACGCCACGATTCGTTACCCAGAAAGAAAAATTCAAACCGCGATGCCACTGGCAAGAACTTTTCGGCTTTAGATTTGTCTCGACAGAAATGATATAGATAATCATTAATGCGACATGATTTCAGCCCGCCCTTTGAACTTCTTCTGGCCTCCATTACAAGGCTCCTCCCAATAAGATCATTCAGGTAATCTTCTGCTACATCCTCTGGTTTCTTCACCTCATCTCTCCGTAAAAATCCTTCACTAACCCATAACCATGTTAGTTTTGAAACTGAAATTTCTGTACTCATTGGTAATGCCGCAAAATATAGAAAACATTGTCTTAGATAACCAGGCATATTTTTGTAGCTCAATTCTATTATTTCATTGCAGTCTCCTACATCACGATTAGTTTCTGAACTAAATACCTCTTCAGTTATGGTTAGCCAATTGTTGTTGTCCTCTAAATTGACAAGAAACCCAGCTACCAAAACAATGGCCAGAGGTAGCCCTTGACATTTTATGGCAATTTCCTTCCCAACTTCAGCAGGACAGTTCTCATTTGGAATTGGGGGTTTGCGAAATTCTTTTTGCGTACAGAAGCGAAGGTGATTATACTTCACTTGTAATAGCTCCCAACTCTCTTCCGGAGTCAACAAGCGAACCAAAAGAGGTTCATCAAACAATGGATCCTCATATTTTCGGCCGCTGGTAACAAGAATTCTGCTTCCATTATGATTATCTGGAAAACACCTGTGCAACTCATGAAATATATAAGAATCCCACACTTCATCTAAAACGATGAGGTATCTTCCTCCATATAACTGTCTGCGTAAAAGATCAAGATAATCTAGCTCCTTCTTGTAAATGTCATTGCTCAGATCAACGATAGAAATTAAAATATCTTGGGCTAATTCACNTTTGGGACATCCTTATTTTCCATGAAGACATGCACAAATTCAACAACGTCCTTGAAAAGCTTAATTTCTGCAATGACATAGTCTACATGATTGTTCCGTGTGGAATAACGATTAACCAATAAGCTATCAACAACATACTCAAATTTGATAAATAAGTTGGTCATATGATTGCAAACATCTAACACTTCCTTACGCTCTCCTTGTTGGTCAACATTATTTTCGAGAAAAGGTTTGAAGATTTTAATCTCAGCCAGTACAACTTCAATCTGATCTGGTAGAGCAATTGAATCAATACTAGGATCCAACAATCTCAGCAAATTCTGCGATACCAAATCTATACATCCCAAACTATCAATCTGGGAAAAGCGCAATCCAATTGGCCTTTTTACCTCGATAATATACTGCAAAATCTTTGATGCCGCGGGCTCCATCTTTTGCACCAAATGGGATATAGCAAGATCAAATTCTTTGCCCAAATCTTCATCCATTTCTCGGTTGTCCAATGAGTTAATGAACGACCAAAACTCATTGACAACAAGATCAAAGATTATCAAGCTTTCTTTTTGAACTTCATTGCATAAGATATATACTAGCAGTGACCTGAGCAAATTTTGGAGTTTTTGAATACGATCTTTGTAGACCAGAAGATAAGGCCGAGAATTGAGCTCTGTTATCGGCGCTTGTAGGATGAAATTAACAAAGTCCGCTGCAAAGTCATCCAATTCCCTACTGAAGCTTAGAAATGAGGGTAAGACTTTTAGGGCTTCAATATAAACACAAAGGATATCGGATTTAGCAGGGTTAATGCTCTGTAGTAGATCTACAAGGATTAAACTAATGCAATCATCATCTGAATCCTCTGCCAAACAAAGTGAAGAGATACAACTTGCTGTTTCTTTTATTGCACCTGCGACACAATTGCAGAAATTGTTGATGTCGTTGGACTCACGAATACAGTTCTTAAGTATGAAGGAAACAAAACGGTATAGATACTCTAGATTTCCTTTGACAAGTTCAAGTTTTTCCTTCACAGGAGCAACAAAATCTGCCCTGGACTTCAGCAAAAACTCTAGATTGAAAACGAGAGATTCGATGCACCCAGCCAGGACTCGAATCGTGTATCTAGGATATCTTAGCTTGGGCAGAAGTCTAAGGACTAAAACAATGTCTGGCTTGAGAAGCCAAATCTCTTTAAGTAGGTCAAAAGCAACACGTTCCAGTTCAGATGTTCCAATATCACAAGTCAAATGAAGGTCCCGTCTTGCCTTTGTGATCAAACTCTGGATACGATCCAAAAGATCTCTCAACTCATTATCCTCATCCACGCTGATCCATGAAGGGGCACTGCGAACAAGTAGAAACAGAAATATTAATTCCTTGTAAAGCGTCACTATATGATCATGATCATGATCATGATCATGAAGGGGCGACCTTTCGGTTATAACTTCGTTTTTAATAAATTCGATAAGATCGCCAATATTAGATTCCAAGTCCATGGCTTTGCAGATCAGAAATAAACAAACGGAAGGAAGTAGAAGGTCAAGAGTCAAGATTGATCAGCAATTTCTCTACCTTTTGCTCACATTTAACATTTCCATTAATGTAAATGTATGTGTTTAGTCCGCGAAAGTGACTGCTACAAAAATTAACAGAAAACATTATATTGACTTTTCTGATGTGGATGTGCTGATGCAAAAAAGTAGTCCATGTTAGTCAACAAAAGGTTATGTTGACTTTTCTGTTATATTGGTCAGAGTATTGTAATTTTTGTGTGACAAAATAAAATTATGAGCTGGATTAGAGACTGAGAGATTGCTTTGACTAAGCTGTATTCGAGATGATCACGAAATCATTTATTGTACAAGTTGATGATAAAAAACGTCAATATTTTTCTATTGAGGAATTTTTTACTTTTAATTATATTTATACTTAATTATACCAAATTTGAAGAATTCAGACATGGGAATTGACTTTTAAGAATAAAACATATCTGTCTTAGTCGCGGTTGTTTGTACATAATTTTATATTATAGTCTACTTATGTTAGTATTAGAATATAACACAACACTTCATTAAACAAACATTATCCACTTGCGTATCTTATGCGGAGTCCGAAACAAAAATAATAGTATTTTGGACTCAAAATACGTTTATACAGTTAAAAAAAAATTGCATTTCTAAATAAAACACAGTATTATACTGCGTTTTAGTTTAACGTAAAGTTAGCCGTTAATATAAAACGTAGTATAAGACTGCGTTTTAGGAAATAAACCGTTTTTAATAAGAAAAAGCAGTATAGTACTACGTTTTAGGAAAACGTAGTATTATACTGCGTTTTCCTATAAAAAAATATAAACTCGTCTTCTTCCCCACGACAGAACCACTGGTTCAAACTTAAAAAAAAAAAACTTTCTGCGGTCCCCCCCCCCCTCCGATTTTAAAAAAAATCCTTGGGTCCCACCCATCACACAAAAGAGTGTAGGTCCCGCATACAATCCAATAAGCGTTCGATTGTTGTGGATTCCTTTTTTCGGGCTCAAAATTTTAAATTTCCGACATTTCAAAAAATATAAATCGGGGTATTCCGATTTAGTTTATGTCAAAACTCGTAGACCATATGGATATTTGTTTTCTTGAATGTGTTTCCACGTTGATTTGTGTTGTATGTTATTTTTACCCGGATTAAATTATTAGTGTTTTAAAAAAATAGTTAAAAGTTGAGAAATAATTTTTATTGTTAATAAAATTGTTCATAAGTATCTTTTACTGTTTTATATGTAATTTCGTGAATGTTATGTTTATATGTTTGTTGTTTTTATTTAGTTTAGATTATTTATTTACTTAAAGAATAGTGGCCTTTTAGCGTAGTAAAATATAGAACCTTTTAGCGTAGTAAAATATATAGCTTTTTAGCGTAGTAAAATATAGAGCCTTTTCTATGCCTCTTTGTAATGGTGAGCCAATTGTTGTTGTCCTCTAAATTGACAAGAAACCCAGCTACCAAAACAATGGCCAGAGGTAGTCCTCGACAATTTCCGGCAATTTCCTTCCCAACTTCAGCAGGACAGTACGTTCTCATTTGGAATTGGGGGTTCGCGAAATTCTTCTTAAGTATAGAAACTAAAGTGTTAGGATTTTGCCTTGATTTTCTAATTTATTAGGACTCTCTTTCTTGAAGGAATGGAAAAAGACTCCTAAAAGGATTAAATCTCTTTAATATGTTTAATCCTTTTCTTGGAAGACAAATTTTACACATCTATAAATTAAGGATTTCTGCTTCTAACAAGAACACAAAAATATCAACAATGTAGTCATTAAAGAGTTTTGTTTAGGGGGAGATTTTTCTCTCGATAGTTATTCTTCTTTTATATTAGTTTTATCATATGTAGATCAATTGACCAAATTATTATAAACTATTATGCTTAGTTTAGTATATTTTTCCTTTGTCATCTTATTTATCGTCCACCAAACTTTGTATTGTTAGTTTCCGCATGCACCATATTATTTCGATCCTAACATAAGGTGATTAAACTTCACTTGTAATAGCTCCCAACTTTCATCCGGAGTCAACAAGCGAACCAAAAGAGGTTCATCAAACAATGGATCCTCATATTTTCGGCCGCTGGTAACAAGGATTCTGCTTCCATTATTATTATCTGGGAAACACCTGTGCAACTCATCAAATATATCAGAATCCCACACTTCATCTAAAACGATGAGATATATTCCTCTATGTAACTGTCTGCGTAAAATATAAGGATAATCTAGCTCCTTCCCTCCCTTTAACTTGTAAGTATAATTGCTCAAATCAATGATAGAAATAAAAATATCTAGGGCCAATTCACTCACCGTATGTCTAGAAGAAACAGAACACCATGCTCGAATATCAAAGTGATCTGAAGTTCTTCTGTCATTGTAAATTCTTTTGGCGAGTGTTGTCTTGCCAATTCCTGGCATGCCAATGACAGGAATGGTATTAAGCTCGGGCCCTCCACCAATTACCCGTGCCATTAATATTTCTATCTGGTCCTCCAAGCCTACAACTGCTTCATCAATGATTGGAGTGCTAGGTTTTGATGTTTGACGATCACTTGGGACATCCTTATTTTCCATGAAGATATGCACAAATTCAACAATGTCCTTGAAAAGCTTAATTTCTGCAATGACATTGTCTACATGATTTTTCCATCTGTAAGAAAGATCAACCAAGAAGTTTTCAACAAGCTCAAATTTGACAAATAAATTGGTCATATGATTGCAAACATCTAACACTTACTTACGTTCTCCTTGTTGGTCAACATTATTTTCGAGTTTGAAAATTTTAATCTCAGCCAGTACAAATTCAATCCAATATTCTGTCTGAGCAATTAAATAAATACTATGATTCAACAATCTCAGCAAATTCTGTGATACCAAATCTATACATCCCAAACTATCAATCTGGGAAAAGGGCAATGTTGGCTTTTGTTTCTCGATAGTACCCTTTAAGATCTTTGAGGCCATAGGCTCCATCTTTTGCACCAAATGGGATATAGCAAGATCAAATTCTTTGCCCAAATCTTCATTTATTTCTCGGTTGTCTAATGAGTTAATGAATGACCAAAACTCATTGACTACAAGATCAAATATTGTCAAGCTTTCATTATGGATACCACAGCATAAGATATATATCAGCAGTAACCTGAGCGAAATTTGGAGTTTTTGAACAACATCGTTGTAGACAGGTAGATAGGACCAGGAATTGAGCTTAGTCATTGGTGCTTCTAGGATGAAATGAACAAGACATCCAATTCCCTAGTGAACTCTATAGTTGTGTGTAAAAGTTTCAAGCCTGCAACATAAGAACGGATATCTGATTTAGCATGTTGTATGCTCTGTAGCAGATCTATCATCATAAAACTAATGCAATCAGCCATATCCTCATCCAATTCATCTGCCAGACAAAGTAAAGTGATATAATATGATACTTTTTCTACCACAACTGTAAAAAGATCACAGAAGAGATTATTGAACTCGTTAGACTGAAAATTAGAGTTGTTTAGCATGACGGGAAAACCTTTCAGAATTTTCAGATTTCCTTTGAAAATTTCAATTTTTTCCTTCACAGGAGCAACAAAATCTGCCTTGTAGTTTAGCAAAAACTCTAGATTGTCATCAGCAGATGGAACAAAACCAAATGCTCGGACGAGCTTGGGAAGCAGTCTTAGAAATAAAATCATGTCTGGCTTGAGAAGGTAAATCTCTTGAAGTGTGTCATGAGTAACACGATCCTGTTCAGAGCTTCCAATATCACAAAGCAAGTGACGGTCCTGACCTGCGTTTGTGATTAAAATCTGGATACGATTCAAAAAATCTCGTACATCACTATCCTCATCCACGTGGATCCATGTATGGGCACTGCGAACTAGTGGTAACAGATATGTCAATTCCTTCCTAAGGATGTGTGTAAAAACAGTCAAAACCCGGGTTTTATGACTTCATTTTCAATAAATTTGATAAGACCGCGAAGATCTTGATACATATTGTCTAACTGGCTTTGCAGAATTTTTTTTTTTTTTTTTTTTTTTTTTTTTTTTTTT